ACCCGCGGTGGGGGCCAGGGCCGCGCCCCCGCCGTGGGTTTCAGACCAGAGCGTCACGAAGCACAGGAGGTGGGGAGAAGCAGCTCCTCCTCCTCCCACCCCACCCCGAGGTACCACAAACCTATCGGAAAAAAAAACCCCTTATTTAAGTTTACAAATAGGAGACAAAAAAGCTTGGCCACGTATTAATAAAAGCCTCAGGCAAGAGCTTCTGTGCGGAGCCCACCCCCGACAGCGGGAGATCAATTAAGCAGGTTGGCAGTTAATGGGGTAACAGGGGGACACATCGAAGTCCCCACAGGACCCCCAGACTGCCCAGGGGCGGCTCCGGGCAGGGCTGCGAGAGCCCGGTGCTTCACAAGGGGAAAACCAAAGTACTTCCAGGGATCCCCAAGGCCTCCTGCGAGCCCGGGCTGGCCACGGGCCCTGCTCACGCACGGGGCTGTGGCAGGCACCATCTCTGCCAGGCAGCTCGGCGGCTGCAGGATCAAAGGTGATGCTGCCCCTTGGAACTCCCGACATCGGCACCGCAGGAGGCAGAGGGGCTGCCCTGGCCCCGCAGAACCGCTGCCGAGCCTGTTTTTCCGAGCCTTGAAAGGCAAAAGGAATCCCTGCCTGCTCAGCCACTGCCCTCTCTGGCCCCTTCTGCCGCAAAACCAGTGGGAAGAACAAATGGAATAAACTCTCCACCTGAGCACAACTGACCGACACCACTCCCAAGTGTGAAGCCCCTGAGGGAGGGGCTCAGGAAAAGTGCAACAAAAATACCTCGGGTGAAGCTTTGTAAGCGCCAGAAGGGCAGATGGACACTGCAGCTGTGCCTCCCGCACAGCCTGGGGGAGGCAGGCACTCTGTCTCTGCTGCCGCTCTGCAAAATCCCCTGAAGGGACAAGACCGCTGGTGCAACGGGAGCTCGGTCTCTAACGCTGCCTGGAGGCTTTGGCACTTTCTGCAGCCAAAAGCGCTGCTGGATCCAAGGCCATCATTACTGTAGGCCCATCGGAGTGCTAGAAAAGTGCAGAGCTAATGCATAGTTATAAAGCCAATAGAGAAACATCCCAGGGGTAAGTAATCTCACTAGAGCAATTAGTGAAGCTACACTGGTTCTGCCCAGAGGTCCGTCTAAGCTCCGTCTCCAGCCGTGGATACAGACAGGAGGGCTGGGGCAGGGCAGGGACAGGGTAATCACCACCCCTGGGTTCCTACCAGGTCCTGGAGCCCAGGAATGAAAACACCCCTTCCAAAAAAACAAGTCCCCTCACCCCCCATTTGATTTGGTCCAACAAAATTGTGCTTCAGAGAGCAGAAAAAGCATCAACAGCCACAGCTGTTCACAGCCACTTACTGAAGATGCTTTGTCTCCTCACCTATCTACAGGAATATGCTTTAAAACCTGTTTCATTTAACCTTTCCTTCTCCAAACTGCACTCACTCTGTAGCCACGCATTGGTACAGAGCAGGAGCAACTGCTCAGGGTGGTTACAGATAAGACAACGGCATTCTGTCTGAACTATTTCTTTGGAAATATCTCCTGAAAATTTCTTTTAGTACTGCTGGCTTTTAAAATTGCTTAGTTCTCAGCCAGCTCCTGCTCTCAGGGCAACGCTGAACCTCCTGTTCCCAAAGGGAACCTCATCATGGTTCATTGTTCAGCGTGACTTGGAAGCTCAAAGCAAACAAGGACGGAGCATTTCACTGACTCTGAGGAGACACTGCGAAAAAAAAGCCCCCAAAGCCGGTGGGGTGGGAGCGACCCTGGGCTGAACGGGGTGGGGGCCTGGTGTGCATGTGCTGGGGAGCTAACAGGCACTCTGGCCCCTAATTCCCTGTGTTAATCCACGCCTGACGTCTCTGAGCACCACCGTACCTCTAACGCCCTCGTCTCCGTTCCTAATTTCACTCTGTCAACCTCAGCACCTCCCGAAGATGGAAAGAACCTGAATCAGTGAGACCGCTCTCCCACCACGTCACACAGGGTGTGGGGAGGAGGCTACTCCAGAGCTCCAGCCTCCAGTCTGAACCTCCTACTTTCCTGTCTACACTTTACCAGCCGCAGTCTCGTTATGCCATTGCTGTCAATAAACGCCACGGTGAAGAGCTGGCGTCCAAGCCACAGGGCAGCTTACAGCTCTGAGCTGCTGCTGGCGATGAGGTGGGGAGGACACTGGCTACCAGGAGGGAGCTTCCCACCTGCGCTGGATTCTGCGCCTTCGCCCACAGGGCACAGGCGCTCACCACGAGTGTTCGGTCCTAATGCCAATGCTGCTCTGTGTGATTCAACGCACAGTCCAGTCCTTGAGATCAGAGGGTTCCGGGTGACGCGTGGTATAGCTGTTACATGAGTTTCGTCACAGAGTCTGAAGAAGAGCTGGAAAAGCACTGGGGTGGGTGGCAAACCAAGGTGTATGCACCAATAATGTTTATAGATTCAAGTATTTTCACTCCTGTAAAAATTTGCCTGAACTCAAAAGGGCAGGTTATGTAAACTGGTATCACTTGAAACTTAGCCTCAAACCAACATCCAGAGCAAAGCCCCAGGCCTGGGACTGTCTGCATCTTAACATCAACGTCTGGCATGGAGATGAGGAAGAATTTCTGTAATCAAAATAGAACTCTGAAGTCTTTGGCCATCTCTGTGGGGCATTTGGGTGCCTTTGTTTTTAGGTCTGCAGGTATGGTTTTGCTCTTTGCAGTCCTTCCTTCAGGAACTGGAGGTAAGTTGCAGTTGAAGGGTCTTCAAAATTGGTTGAGAAACTAAAGATGCTACTTTCAACATCTTCAGGCTTCATAGAAGTAATATCCAGGAAGTAGTTGGCATTGATATGGTGAATCTGGGAAAGAAAACAGATGAGGAGAGGAGACTTTAAAGGCCAGAACAATTCCCCAACCACTGCCTTGGCCTCTCGCCAGGACATAGGTGACAAGACTCTAACAACTCTTAAAGAATCTTCAACACTTTGCGAATGCTAATTCAGCATCCAGGATTCAGGTCTGAATTCTACAGTCAGAGGAAGATGTGTGAAAGAAAACGGTCTGTTTTTTCGCCCCCAAGTGTGCTGAGCCCTCACTTGGGTTAAGAAGAAGATGAAGGCGATTTGGGAAAAATCACACAGGCATAAAACCTAGCTCTGGGCAAGTGCTGGGGAGATGGCAGCCTGACCGTGCTGACTGCTGAGGTGCGTGCTCTCAGCCTGGCAGAGCTGCAAAACCAGCTTCAAACCTGAGCTTCAAATGCCTCTGCGCTTTCTGCCTCCGCTGTGGAGGTGGGAAAGCGGGACACGCAGCCACTGACCACAGCAACCTCGACAGCCTGAGCTGACACCACCCACCAGCCCACAGCCTTGTCTGGAGGGGAGCCAGCAAGGTGTCACTGCGTGTGTTACTAACTAATAGCTGTAAGTGTGGGGCACGATCAGATTAGCCCCGGCAAGATCCTCCACCGCAGACGGCCCAGCTGCTGACACACAGCAAAGCGCGGCACTGTCAAGTGTCAGGAACCGTTGTCGTTCTTCAAATCCAAGGCAGGGGGGTTGTTCGGGGGAACAGCAGAGCTGAAGTCTGTGGACTTGCTAATGGCTGATCTGCTGTGACAAACGTGGGGAATGAAGAGAAAGATAAATGTGCTAGAAGGTGCTGATAAGGAGAGTTTTTCTCCAAAGCACGAGCACAAGGGACAATGGGTGCAGGAAACAAGCTACAATGGCTTCCCAAAGGTCACTGACTCCAACCAAGGACGATGAGGCAACACAGGCAGACATTTGGTTCAAGTTGGATTGTTTCCCCCCCAGCCCAGAGCTGCTGTTGTTCTGTCTCTTGAATAAAGAGACATTTGTTTCAGATTTCTTGGTAGAGCTGCTGTGTGTCTGCTACAGCATCCCTGAGAGCACAGCACCGGGAACGCCTATGGCCTCACAAAGGCTTGGGAAGCCGGGGAATGGCTGGGGGAGCCGACACTCACTTCAGGGTCTGAGGACCACCCTGAAAAGAACACATTCTGATGGGAAGAGCCAAGCCCAGCTGAAGGGGTAATGAACGTACCACTGTGCCATTGGGGAGGCAGATGATCATCTCCACAGGGAAGTTGTATTTCTCCAGGTGCAGGTCAGCCAGCTTGCTGTAGAACTCATTCTCTCTGTTGGTCTGTAAGAAGACCCCAAAGAAACATGTTTTCACACACCAAAACTAGCAGAACAGTGCAGGAGGAGTACACCGAATACAGGAGGTGTTTTTGGCAGACCGAAAGGCTGCTCTGCAGCATGGTAGTAACTGGCTCCATTCTCACCATCTGCTTTACTATTCGACTTCAGTCAGCCTCCCCCCTTTCAGCTGCAGATTTTCTCCCCAGACAATAAAATCACCCCATCACTGACAGTTCGCAGACACACCAACAGCCCAATCCCAGCTTTTCCCAGAGTTTCCAGCTCCGTGACTGACCCCAGCTGACAGCATAGGCCCAGGGACAGGCTGATAAGTGGGAAAAGGTGAAATCAGGAGACTCAGGTTCAGACAGTATTTGGTTGCTCCCTGGGTTACAGAGAAGTCAGTTTGTCGATGGCACAAATGGCCTTGGGCACGGCTATCTCACAGTGAAGCATCTGGTTTAGCTTTTAATATTGATACCATGACAGAGGGAAAGGGGTCACTGTGCCATTTTCATAGCCTGCCTCCATCTGGTGTTTGCTTGGCCTCTGCGATCGCTAGGACACGGAGGGTTTGGAAACAAAATCCCCCACTGGCACAGGTGTGAGCTCCCCCCTCCTGCTGGCACCCCGGTGCCAAGCACTGTCTGCGCTCACCAGCACCAAATGCAAAAGGCGGCAGAGGTGGCTGCAACACTCACCTGCAGCTCTTCCAGCTCTTTCACCAGCGACCGAGGATGGGCGAACTTTCCAGGACAGTCTCCCGGAGAGTTCGCCCCGAACCTGACATAGGAAGAGAGGCAGACAGTGGTTTGCTGTGTTTCCCGAGATGACTGTTGGCACGTTTGATGCCACCACTTTGGTTGCTGCAGCAGCTGGCTCAGGCTCCCCCTAGCCCAGCCCATTGTCTTGTTTCTCCTTTGTTGGCAGTTTTCCACAGCTTATTGTTTCCCATGTGTGCTGCTGGCAGAGAAGACCGACCAGAGCAGACCCCAGCCACTTGCAAGGCCACAGAAGGACCAGGAGGTCCTTGCATGCCATGGGGGCTGACTGATTTGGTGCATTTGGGAAAGGATCAGGCCCTGCGGATCCACCCTGAATGCCTCTTGCTGTTTATGCCGAGCAGTGCCCATACATGCTGGAGAGTTTTTAAGGGCAGATAGGACTAAAGATACCTGCCCCTCTCCCACCCATCACTCCTGCTCTAGGTGACACACAAGTTCTTAGGCGTGAGGGGCGGAAACAGCTACACATCAGGACAACCCCAAGCCCGCATCTGGCTCTGGCTTCTGTTGTGCAGGCGTCAGGGACAAAGCAGAGAGCAGTGTCCCTTTCACCCTGCAGATGCTGGCTCTGAACTAGAACCGTGTCTCCCTCTCGACAAAGGCACGTGAATTAGCAGGTTTGTCTAGGGCTTGTCTCAATAGATCTGATCCTGCCACTGGGGACCTAAGCTCTGATCAGTAATTCCCCACTTCCAGCTCCTTTTTATTCAGCATCTTCAGTGCCAAAAGAAGTAACACAATATTTAACGCTGGTGTCTGACCAGCTCCCTGACCCCCAGCCACTCTCACAGCCTGAAGAACACGCATCATTCCTCTAGCCATGCTGGGAATATCCTCACCTCAGCAGGACTGGTCGTCCAGGGCGCCCCACAGCAGGATCGAGTGCACCAGCTTCTTTTCTGCTTTTGCTCTCTCAAAAGCTTGTGTGAAGGGAAGATAAGAGACCTGGAGGCAGAGAGACAGCTTGAGAAATAGACACAGAACATCTCGAATACGAGCAGGGCCTGAAGGAACCAGACCTGCCGCATGCCACAGGTGACACACACAGAGTTTAATCTGCAGTAGATCCTGCAGATTAAAGCAAATGACAACTGTGCTGCTCTCCCAAGGGACAACTTAATCTCCTGGTGAGACTGTAGCGAGCCCCTCCCAGCATGTGGGCCGTTACTGGCACCTGCAGAGCTCCACCTTTACACACTGCAGAGAGCATCCGCACAACTGCGGGCAGACTGTCTGCAAACATACCTCAGCAGCCTGGGAAATCTGGTCTTGAGATATTTATTACAAATCCTCACTGAAACGGCCTAAAAACTGGCTGCGAGGGACCCTGCACAGAGATTGTTCCAATCGCTCAAATGAAGGGAACTTTATTAACATTTTGGCAGCTCTAAGGGACATTTGTAAGCTCAGGCACAAGGAAGCAGCCATTGAAACGTGTCCCTTCAGCCAAGGAAGCAGTGACAGGCAGTAGCCATCTGCTCCACAGGCTACTGGCATGTTAAATAGTTTGGGTCACCCAATGCTATAAATTTGTGTCTCACTGCGGGATGCAGAGGCACAGGCGAATTGTGTGTTTTCTGCTGATAAGGAAAGCTTGGTCCAAAGGTAGCTGAACGTTGCAAAAGTAACGCCAGAGGAAAACCATTTGTAAGCAGCGCGATTACCTGCCTCGCTCAGAAATCGTGTCGGCAGCTACTGATAAGAGGAAGGAAGGATGAGCCTACATTTACAATACAAGCCTGGGACACATGACATCTAGGCTTTGCTCCTGACTGCGGTGCTGTGCAACTGCAAACGGCCTTTCAGAGATGCTGTACTCCCTCACCTGGGAACTGGAAGTCCATCAAGCCACCCACGCAGTGCCTGGGAGGCACATGCTGAGCTGGGAGACCCTCACGCTATTCTGAATGCTGATCAGGTTGTGACCTCCAGTTTCTGCTGGTCCTCGAGGTGACTGGACATCTCAGTGAAGACGACCTGCCCCAAATAAACATGCCAAGGAACAACCTGGCCCCTTCCTCACCTTCTTAAATGGATACATGGCCACTTCCAGTTTCTGGGCTGCCTCTTCCCAGGGGATTTCCTGCTGCCAGGTTATCTCTTCAAACACAAACTGGATGGGCTCCCCTGAGGGATCCCTGCTGTCAATCACATTTCCGTTCTCATCATGGATCACAGAGGGGATTGACGGCCCTGTTGATTCCAGCTCCATCTGCAGGAGAACAGGCTGAGAGTTGAGCACTGCAGATATCCCACTCCCATTTTTTCTGTACTCCAGGACAGGATAAAGATGCAAAATAAGACTGTGCACCTTCTAATGAAGATACAGCTTGATCTATTCTCTTCCGGAGCTGCACTTTACCAGTTGCAGATGTGTTTTACTGAGGAATAGCAGGAAAGCAACTTCATTTCCTTCAGTTATTGTCTGACTGTGCTCGCTAGACTGGGAATGCATGAGACCTGTTCACTCCGTGTTCCCACCATCCCAGTGGAGATTTTTGACTGTGGGACACCAGATCCTTAAAACCATTGGGATCCGCAGGGCTAGTTTGAAGCTCTTGTTCGTACCGGCAGCACAGCCCTTACACGGCCCGTGGCTAGCCACAAGAGGGAGCAACAGGGAAAGCTGTTCAGGAGCTCCCCAGCAGTTCAGTGTTGTGGTACTTCTGAAATTATTTTGGCTTTTGGCAATTAAAAAGAAACATGGATCTAGTTTAGGAGAGAACGTGACTGTTAAATTCAGGCATTCAACATCCTGACTTATGTTTTCTGTCCCAAGAGCTGCGCTTACCACAAAATAGAGGAATAACCTCACGCAGTTTCTAAATTCAGACACGCTGCTGTTCATACACCCCTCTGGGCTCAGGGCCTGGGTTTGGCTCCTATTCTTCCCCCCTAGGTCTGTCAGACAACTTTTTAAAAATGGAGAAAGTCACACGACTCCAGGACCTTAGGATTCAAGCCACACAGAGGGAAAAAATAAAATATCACAAGAACTGGCAATAGGGAGCCATATTACTGCAGAGGACATATACAGATTATCAGAGGTTATATAGTTATATTGAAATGTTCAAGAGAAAGCTCTAAAGAACAGGGTTATACAGCTTAGGGACATGGCAGCATAAATCCCTGCTGGGATGCTGCACGCACACAGAGGGCTGAGAGTAACTACAGACCTGAGGCAGGTAACCGATATCCACTTCCATGTTGCTGCTTTCACTCGCCCCATACAGCCACTCCATATCAACGTTCAGAGACCTGCAAGGTGAACCCGATATGTTCAGAGTCATCCAAGGCTCAAGCTCTGTATGGGAAACCCCAAACAAATGAGAACATCTAATGCTCTTCTTGCAGGGCCAGCATGGAAGTCCAGAGCCTCTGGCACCTTGGAGATGACCATGTATGGAGATGACCTTGGAGATGACCTGCACGAGACCAGCAACGCTAGATCCCTGCTGGATCAGGGCCCAGGCACCCACCCAACACTCCGGGCAAACGTGCTCACACCTTTGAGTACTGTCAAAGTACGGAAGAGAGAGGTGTCTTTGCTCTCCCTTCCTTCCCAGCACTTAACTTG